AAAGAAATAATATAAAAAAGAAGAGAAAAGAATAAAAAGATAATATATAATCAATTATAAATATTATATGATTAATATATAATATGTAATATATAATAAATAATAAATAATAAATTCATATAATATAGATAGAAGATATAAAAAATAAATAAATAATATAAATAATAAAGAAATAATAAGAGAAATGATATAATAATAAATAAAATATATAAAAGAAATAATAAATAAAATCAATATAATATAAATAATAATAAATATAAAGAGAAAGAAGATATAAATATAAAAATATAATCAAAATGAAAATAAGATAAAGGAATGTATTCATATATAATAAATTATATATAAATAGAAGTGTATTAATATATAAAATAAAATATAAATAATAAGAATATCAAACTAATAAAATATGATAAATATAATAATAAAGAGATAATATGATGATATATATATAATACAATAATAGAAATAAATATAATAATAAAATACATAAATAACATAATAATAAAAATGTATACTTACATTGAATCAAATATCATTTCTGAATTATTTATATTTCAGAACAATTTACCATAAAATGATATAAAATATAATCAGATATAATTGAATATAGAATGATATTTAATTTACATTTTTATTTTTTATTTTTTTTAGGAGCAGAACAATAAAAAGTATTATTTTATTGATTCAAAATATTTTGCCCTTTTCTTTTTGGGGTTTTTTTAATTAGATTCATTATTTCTTTGCTTATTTTGGTTCCCCATTTATTCTATTTTATGAATGTAAGGGAAATCATTTTGTTGTTCAATTTGTTTTAATTGATGTATGAAATGGTAATACTTCTTTTATCTTCATTATTTATTCTTGTTGAAGATTCTAATTCAACAATTAATCTCATATTATTCTGATTATACATTATAACAATACCAGATTGATTAAATGATTTAATTAATACAGGAATAGTATTTGAATCTCTTGTTTTCAATGATTATTTATTGATTCTTTTTGTTTTTTTTTCTTACGACTATTCTTAAAATGAGATGTAACAAATGATTTGATTATCAATTAAATCATAATTCATCATTTCAATAATATTCAAATATATTTGAATTAATTCATAACATAATGACATTTTGAAGTGATTGAAGAGATTATATTTCATTAATTAAATTAATATTATTTATTTTGTATGATTTTTAATTGATTAAATAATACTAAATCAAGTTATTGAATAAGATGAAATATTTGTGATATAATAATGAATTATAATAAATAATTATAATAAATAGTGAAATATCATTATGTTAATTAAAGTTACCCATTATTTTTACTATTTTTGATTATTATCATGATCACAATTAATTCATGTATTAATAAATTATTAAATGATTTTATTTAACATCACTTCAAAAAATATATTCATTGTTAAGAATATTGTTCATTTAAAAAAATGTAATATATGATAAATTATGATTTTTTGTGAAAGTTAATTCACAAATGTAATATAAATATTACAAAATCAAGATAAATGATTTATCCTCAACACAAATATAAATACTCGTTCTTTTTGATAATAATGATATTCATTGTATTATAACTTCTGTATATCCAGACGAATATAATTCTATTGACTTTTTGTTAACTTACTCATTGACACATATTTCATTAACATCAAATAATAATTTAGATTGAATATAATTACAAAATGATGTAAAACAATATAAATATTAATAATCTCATTATATTTAATATTCATTACATAATATCTGATTTTAGTAATACAATATATAAAATAAGAATGAAACTAAATGATAATCAATTTCATTTATTAATGATGTAAATGTTTTGTTTCATATTTAATAATTCATTTTTTATTAATGAAATAATAATTGATAATTTAGAATTAATATATTCATTGATTAAAATTTAAGTATAAATCAATTTTTTTTGTTTATTTTTTATTTATACTGTTTTATTTATCTTATTATCTTTTAATAATACTCAATATATTTTAATATATTGTATTAAATATTGATGATAATTAATTCATTATTTAACTTATTCTTCAA